GTGTTTCACTGAGTAGCAGGGCAAACACAGACAACAATAATGTACTACACATTTTTCTAAAAGAAAAGCAAAAATAAGAAAGGATTTTTAATGTTGTCACCATAAGGAAATAATGAATATTTCATAATATAGATATGTTTATCATGATTATAACATTACTAATGTACAAAATATCACAATACATCCCATAAATATGCATAATATTTATATGTCTGTTATAAATAAGAAAAAATTCTGACACATCACTAATAAGAATTATACTGAGTATTGTTATTATCGCTGCTTTTGTGGTTATTACTAGTACTCTTAATTAACTAAAATATACAAGACTTTTGGACATAAAATAATTCAAAAGAAAAATTTTTTCCAACATAATGAAATTACATTCTCAGGCCGGCGCCGCGGTTCACTAGGCTAATCCTCCGCCTAGCGGCGCCGGCACACCGGGTTCTAGTCCCGGTCGGGGCGCCGGATTCTGTCCCGGTTGCCCCTCTTCCAGGCCAGCTCTCTGCTGTGGCCAGGGAGTGCAGTGGAGGATGGCCCAGGTGCTTGGGCCCTGCACCCCATGGGAGACCAGGAAAAAGCACCTGGCTCCTGGCTCCTGCCATCGGATCAGCGCGGTGCGCCGGCCGCAGCGCACCGGCCGCGGCTGCCATTGGAGGGTGAACCAACGGCAAAGGAAGACCTTTCTCTCTCTCTCTCTCTCTCACTGTCCACTCTGCCTGTCAAAAAATAAAAATAAAAAAAAAAAAAAAGAAATTACATTCTCAAGCAAAATCATAGAGAACAGAAATAACATAGTTCATTTAAATGTAAATGTATAGTTTTGGCAATCAGATGAACAACACGAAGGCTAAAGTTTGATTGTAGGCACTGAGGCTCTTCACCGGTACTCTAGCGTCACAGGAAAACTCTTCCTCAAAGCAGCATAAATGTGTGGCCCCAAAAATAATGGTGCTCGAATCCAGTGCTTACACACTTTGACCGCTGCCTTATGTCTATCCTTGTTGAGATCCAAGAAGCTTACTTGGAGCTTAATAGGAATGGCTTACATTCTAAGACAGATGTCTTCTGTTTTATATGTTAGATTCTTCAATACAAAGGCTGAGGCAATTTTAGTGAAAGCTTATACAACGTGTCTCTACCCTCACAGATTTCCTGCTTTGCATAAAAGGAAAGTGACAGTGTTTGTAGAAGAGGGAAAAAGGGGAGGACAAGGCAAATCAGTAGCACTGTCATGATAATTATCAATAATACCTGTTATTTGGTTCCACAAGCGAGATTTAATACAAGTAAAAGATTGTGAACCTTGTCTTCATTTATGTTAAACATATCTTCCTTGTCCCAAGGAATCTGCTTTTCCATTGCTTATCAAATGCCCAGATGATCTCTGAAGCTTGTGATTATAGAGTGAACTAATTGAATAAATAGTAGTTTAGTCAATGAACTTCTAAGTAGAATGGCATATTGTTAATGGACAAGTAATGTATACATATTTATATATGTAATATATATAATACAAACTTTCTTTTTGTATTCTTTAATATTCTTAAGTGTTGTTAAAATTCAACAATAACTGCAAATTTAGAGTGGAACCTTGCAGAGGCTGCATCTTCTTGCCTCTTCTATCTGGGTCACTCCAGTGCTCTCTACTGCTGAATCTCATCATTCATTTAGATGACAAGGAACAAATGCTTGTAGGGTATAGATTTGATATCACAAAACTATTGTGAGACATATAGAGATAGATCCAAAAATGCTTGCAAAAACCAGAGTTGGTACATTCAGGAGCCCAGAACTTAAAATAGTCTCCCATTTGAGAAGCACTGACCAAGTTATTAAGTCATTATCTGCTCCCTCCCATGAAGTACAAAGCAGGAAGTTGGATAAGAAGTAGAGTAGTTGGGACTCAAACCTGGCATTCAAATATGGTATGTGAATGTCCAAGCGGTGACTTTATGGCTGTACCACACACACACCACTGTCTTAATTTTTAAAGTACTTCACTGCACACTTTAGAGTGACAAAATCTTAGTTCCTTGTGTTAATGACTATGTTTCATTTAGATCCCTACAGAAAGGCATATTTTCAAAGGTTTCTACAAGTATCTATTCATGAATAATCTCAACTGTGAGTAAGTGGTGGACATCCTATCTTGATTCCACACAAGACTATGTTCATTCTATTTTTTTGGGATGAGTACATGAATGTTTTCAGAATATAACTGGGAGAGGACTAAGTTATTTGGTGAATCTACTGCACTGAACAGAAGTCTAAATTTTGTCTATTGATGTGGTTGATTTCTTTTTAACAATGGTCTGTCAATTTTATTTTACTATAATCTGAGTTGTCTAATTTAAATATTTTGCATCCATTACATTTATCTCTGACCTTGCTTGAGATCAGATTTACAAAATGCTTTATATGCATTTGAAAACAATGTATATACACTCACATTTGAGAACCCTTCAAAAGCTTCATGAAAAAATGAAATTAAAAATAAATAGTATATATTTTGTTTTTCAGTGTCTACTCCATCAAGTTCATGAGCTATCATAAATGAAGACAAATCATGTATTCCATCCAAATAAACTGATATTCCTGGCCATGTTTCCTCTCCCGTTCCAACTCTTCCCAATATGTTTCAGGATCATTAGCCCACTTAAAATTTGCTGTGAAGCTTCTCTCTGTGCAGCTGACTTGGTTGCAATAGTGTTGGTAATTAATGAGTAAAAACCTTACTCAACATTAATTTTTCAGTCACAATTTGTGCTTTGAATCAACGAAGACATCTGTAGCACTGTATGTTGATTCTTCCGTAAAACATTGATCCATCTCAATTTTTTGCTCAGAGAAACTGAGATGGAATTTCTGCCACCTTCATTTTCCACATTGTCTTGTCCCTTATAAAAATTAATTATCCACTTGTAGATTTCTAGTTTATCTGGGTCATTTTCCCAATATACTTTTCATAAAACATAAATACTTTCACCCTTCTTCCACCCAAGCTTCAGTACTGATTTGATTTTTATTCTTGCTTCAATTTTAGCAGATATTGTGTTGTTCAGATACAAGTCTTTTTCAACTTTATGTTTCTTAGTGCATCAAATTAGATCCTAAACAGACAAGATGTAACGAGTTAGTGTGAGCGTATTTGGAAGCAAAAAATGAAATCAATGATTTCAACATAAATGCATTTTTGAGGACTCTGTGTGTATATAAGCTAAAAAAAATCATTCGAAAGCTAAGTAGCAGACTAGATCATGAAAATGAAGCAGTGAACTCTAACACAAATTACTGGAAATAATACAGTCTGAGGATTAAGAAGAATGAAGAAAGAAAAAGAATGGATACAGCTTAAGGAACTTAAGCAATGGTACCAGACTTGCGGAGTAGTGGGTTAAGCTGCTAAGCTGCTGCTTGCAATGCTGGCATTCCATATTGTAGTGCCAGTTTGAGTCTGAGGTGCTTCATGTCTGATCCAGATCCATGTTAATGCAACAACAAAGCAGAAGATGGCCCAAGTACTTGGGCCACTGCCACCCATGAGGGAGATCAGGATGATGTTCTTGGCTTCTAGCTTTGACCTAGCACAGTCAATGCTGTTGCAGCTATCTGAAGAGTGAACTAGCAAATAGAACATCTCTCTCTCTGTTTTTCCCTTTCTGTTGTCTTGTTTGTCAAGTACTTCAGCATAGAGGCTAGCCAAGTTCTTTGTGCTGCATGGGCACTTACTATTCACAACCCTCATAGCACATGAAACATTATTCACTTTAAAATTTCTTGTTTGAGAAATTCTGAATGGGCTTAAATGGCTATCTACCAAAAACGATGTAATCCGTTAAAATATTTGATTGTAGCATCGAAAGATATTGTCATAATAATCTTGGGTACTCTTCAGTAATCATTGTTACTTAACTGAACAGCACTTGACAATAGTAAGATACAAAATGAAAGAAGAGAAAAGCTTCTTTAGGGTAAGAAAGCCGGGACCCAGCATGTTTAGGCGATCTTGTGGATTATATCATGAAATTCCCCTCCTGCTGCAGTAATATCTTTTGCTTCTTTCGTTTATCTTATCCAGACTGAAACTGCCAACTGCTTAATACTTGGGATACTGAGAACATTAAAAAATAGAAACCAATACAAATACAATCATTAAATTGATTTTTCCTTTATATCATAGAGACAATTTTTAGATGGAATCAGGGCTTAAGTCTTGTCTACTACAGTTTTTAAAGTTTATACTGGAGAAATGTTCTAAATGGAAAAACGTTTCCAATTGTCTCGTGGAAACAGAGGTAATCACAACCTTTGAACCACAAGCAAGATAATGTAGTATTTGACTTTATGTGTTTGGCATATCTAAACACTGAGAATAGTATCATTTCACCAAAGCGCCAGCCTCCGCCGGCGCCCGGGCAGCGTTTCCCCGCGCACTGGAGGGTAAGGTCTGGCCGGCGGGGCTGGAGCGGCCGGGACGCAGCGCGGCTGGCGGAGGGCGCGCCGGGCAGTGGTCGCCGGCAGCGGGACCCTGCTTAGTGGAGCACGCGGCAGGCTCGCCCCAGCGCTGGGGCGTCCGGGGTCGCGTAGGTGCCTGCACGCGACTGGGTCGCGGCCCTCCGCAGATCGGAACAGGCGGGCGGGGCAGCCGCCCAGCGCCTTCCACTTGGCGCTGCTGGAGTTCCCGGTGTGCCCCCTGTCCAAGAAGCCGCTCAGATAGGAAGCATCAACAAATGAATGAATTAATGAAGAGCTGGGAATAGCCTATCCAATCATGGACGGGACTCCTAATATGACACCACAGGCAGCAAGGATGACTATCAAGATAAGAAGCAAGAAGAAACGGAGCAGCACTAGACCATAGTTTAAAAAAAAAAAAAAAAAAAAAAAAAAAAAAAAAAACAACCAACAACAACAAAAAAAAAACACAACACTAACTGTTTTCAATACCATATCCTTTTTAAAACAAGGTGGCAGGTATTAAGTGGGAGAAGAGAATGTTTCTGTCTCTTCCTACACTGACCATCCTTATCCCACTAATTTCTCTCCCAGGTCTTTTCTACGCGGCCTCTGTGGAAGAAAACTTCCCACAGGGCTGCGCCAGCTCCACCAGCTTCTGCTTCTACAATTTGCTCTTACCCATTACCATACCAGTGTATGTGTTCTTCCACCTCTGGACTTGGATGGGGATTAAACTCTTCAGGCGTAACTAAGGGAGCCAGAGCCAAGGTGGTGTATAGATTCGTGATATGTCTAGGGCATCCATCTCTGCAAGTTCAACTAGGTGGAAATGCTGAAGACACATTGCATTTGCAGGAAAGAGGCTTTGCCTTGCTTCTCAGGATTGGGCCTACGAGAGACTTAAGCTGCAGAAGCTTCTTTTATTGTACTCTAATTCTGACAGCCCTTGTGTTTTGAAGGTTCTGACATAACTGCTGTTATCAGAAGGAACCTTGTAACAGAGTGTCTTGTTGGAGGTTAACAACCCTACTGCTCAACTGGTGACCATTTCTTACCCCGTTCATCTAAAAGCCATTTTGTAAATCTGTTTGTTTAGCTTCAAGCTTGTTGGTAAAGTGACATGGTAGGGATGACCAAAATAATCTCAAAGGACCTGTATGATGTAGTATAAAGAAATGCATTTAAACTAGTGTGACACAAAACTATAATATTATAAACTGGAAATTTCATGTACTTAAAAATCCTTAGTTTGTAAAATCACCTGCATTTCTTTGGTATCAAATGCTTATAGCTAGTAAAATGATACTTTCCCATAAAAATATCATTTGAACTTTGAAGAAGATCATGTAATATTTGTATTAATGTCCTTATCTTATTTTAGCTAATATAATGTACTCTAGGTTCATCCATATTGTTGTAAATGAAATGATTTCAAATTTTTTATGGATGAATAGTATTCTATGAAGCATGCATATGGTATTTTTGTATACATTCAACTCAGGTTGAACACTTAGCTTGATTTTGTGTCTGGTCTACTATGTTTAGTGCTATAATAAATACCAGAATGCAGATTCTTTTTGACATATGAGTTTCATTTCTTTTGGATATATATATCCAATACATATATATATCCAAAAGAAATGAATATATATATACAAACACTACTGAATATATATATTCATATACATATGAATATATATATACACACACACACAAACACTACTGGGAGGAGCTGATTCATAGGATAATCCCACTTCTATTTCTTGAAGCATGAAAAAGTTTTATGATGATAATTTGAGCAACTAAAGAAAAATAAACATTTCTTTAAAAACATGAATTCAGAAAAAATCACAAAAAAAAAAATATTTTAGTAATCTCTCATGTGAATTAAAGAAATTAATTTCATTTTGAAAATCTTAAGAGATAACTAAAGGGATAAGTAACAGCTGATAACTTAGAGTGAACTTTTTTAAAATGAAAAATAGTTCAATAACATATAGTGTCAGAAAAAAGAGCAGGTTCAAATCTTTTCAACTCATCTTAAGAGGCAAAATTTAACCCTGATTTTAAAAACTGCTGAGCAGAAGAAAATAATTTCAAAAGTATAGAACTAATATGTTCAGGTGTAAAACTCTTAAATAGCAATAGAGCCAATCAAATCCAAAATTAAAAAAAAAGTTAAAGAATATTAATCTCTACATGTTTCTCCTGTCACTTTTTTGTGCCTGCTCACCTGTTAAGATTTGTACTTTTACTGGTTTTTGTGATGGTGCTTGTCATCTTTTCACTACTAGGGAGTGTATTATATATTTCTTCTGTCACCAGGCTTGTGCTAAAGAAGTTCTTCAGGGCTTGCTCATCAAACGAGTGTCTATTTCTTCTTCATTTATGATGGATGACTTTGCTGGAAATAGTACTCGTGGCTGGATCTGTTTTTCTTTCACGACTTTCACAATTTCATCAGATTCTTTCCTAGATTCTTTTTTTTTAACTTTTATTTAATGAATATAAATTTCCAAAGTACAAAATATTGATTACAATGGCTTCCCCCCCATAATGTCCCTCCCACCCGCAACCCTCCCCTTTCCCACTCCCTCTCCCCTTCCATTCACATCAAGATTCATTTTCGATTCTCTTTATATACAGAAGATCAGTTTAGCATACATTAAGTAAAGATTTCAACAGTTTGCTCCCACACAGAAACATAAAGTGAAAAATACTGTTTGAGTACTAGTTATAGCATTAGATCTCACTGTACAGCACACTAAGGACAAAGATCCTATATGAGGAGTAAGTGCACAGTGACTCCTGTTGTTGACTTAACAAATTGACACTCTTGTTTATGGCATCAGTAATCACCCTAGGCTCTTGTCATAAGCTGCCAAGGCTATGGAAGCCCCCTGCGTTCACTGACTCTGATCATATTTAGACAAGGCCATGGTCAAAGTGGAAGTTCTCTCCTCCCTTCAGAGAAAGGTACCTCCTTCTTTGATGACCCATTCTTTCCACTGGGATCTCACTCGTGGAGATCTTTCATTTAGGTTTTTTTTTCCCCCAGAGTGTCTTGGATTTCCATGCCTGAAATACTCTCTTGGGCATTTCAGCCGGATCCGCATGCCTTAAGGGCTGATTCTGAGGCCAGAGTGCTGTTTAGGACATTTGCCATTCTATGGGTCTGCTGTGTATCTCACTTCCCATGTTGGATCATTCTCTCCCTTTTTGATTCTATCAGCTAGTACTTGCAGACACTATTCTTGTTTATGTGATCCCTTTGGTTCTTATTCCTATCATTACGATCAATTGTGAACAGAAATTGATCCCTGGGACTAGTGAGATGGCATTGGTACATGCCACCTCGATGGGATTGAATTCGAATCCCCTGGTATGTTTCTAACTCTACTGTTTGAGGTAAGTCAGCTTGAGCATGTCCCGAATTGCACATCTCTTCCCTCTCTTATTCCCACTCTTATATTTAACAGTGATCACTTTTCAGTTAAGTTTCAGCACTTAAGAAGAATTGTGTTTTGATTACAGTATTCAACCAAAAGCATTAAGTAGAACAAACAAAAAAATTACTAAGAGGGATAACATATTAAGCTGCTCATCAACAGTCAGGGTGAGGGCTTATCAAGTCACCGTTTCTCATAGTGTTCATTTCACTTTAACAGGTTTCCTTTTTGGTGCTCAGTTAGTTGTCACCTATCAAGGAGAACAAGTGGTATTTGTCCCTTTGGTATTGGCTTATTTCACTCAACATAATGTTTTCCAAATTCCTAACAGGGATCACTTTTCAGTTAAAATTTAAACACCTAAGAATAATTGTGTGTTAATTACAGAGTTCAACCTATGGTACTAGAACAAAAAAAATACTAAAATGGATAAAGTATTACATTGTACATCAACCGTCAGGACAAGAGCTGATCAAGTCACTGTTTCTCATAGTGTCCATTTCATTTCAACAAGTTTCCTCTTTGGTGCTCAGTTAGTTGTTGCCAATCAGGGAGAACATATGATATTTGTACCTTTGGGACTGGCTTAATTCACTCAGCATGATGTTTTCCAAATTCCTCCATCTTGTTGCAAATGACTGGGTTTCTTTATTTTTGACTGCTGTATAGTATTCAATAGAGTACATGTCCCATAATTTCTTTATCCAATCTACTGTTGATGGGCATTCAGGTTGATTCCAGGTCTTAGCTATTGTGAATTGAGCTGCAATAAACATTAATGTGCAGACAGCTTGTTTGTTTGCCAATTTCATTTCCTTTGGGTAAATTCCAAGGAGTGGGATGGCTGGGTTGAATGGTAGGGTTATCTTCAGGTTTCTGAGGAATCTCCAGACTGACTTCCATAGTGCCTTAACCAGTTTGCATTCCCACCAACAGTGGGTTAGTGTCCCTTTTCCCCACATCCTCTCCAGCATCTATTGTTGGTAGATTTCTGTACGTGAGGCATTCTAACTGGGGTGAGGTGGAACCTCATTGTGGTTTTGATTTGCATTTCCCTGATTGCTAGTGATCTTGAACATTTTTTCATGTGTCTGTTGGCCATTTGGATTTCCTCTTTTGAAAAATGTTTATTGAGGTCCTTGGCCCATCTCTTCAGTGGGTTGTTTGTTTTGATGTTGTGGAGTTTCTTGATTTCTTTGTAGATTCTGGTTATTAACCCTTTATCAGTTGCATAGTTTGCAAATATATTTTCCCATTCTGTCGGTTGTCTCTTCACTTTCCTTACTGTTTCTTTTGCAGTACAGAAACTTCTCAATTTGATGCAATCCCAAATGTTAATTTTGGCTTTGACTGCCTGTGCTTCTGGGGTGTTTTCCAAGAAGTCATTGCCGGTACCTATATCGTTCATGGTTTTTCCAATGCTCTCTAATAATTTGATGGTGTCAGGTCGTAGATTTAAATCTTTAATCCATGTTGAGTGGATTTTTGTGTAAGGTGAAAGATAGGGGTCTTGCCTCATGATTCTGCACGTGGAAATCCAATTTTCCCAGCACCATTTATTGATTCTAAAGTTTCAGCTGTTAAGTCTTTAGTTTTAGTTTGTCTAATTAAATTCCCTTGTAAGTGACTTGCTGTTTTTATCTTACTGATTAAATAACTCTCTCTTTGTACTGTTTTGTTTTACAGATTCTCTGTAATGTACTTTTTTCTTTGGAAAGGTAATTAGGGGTCCTTGAGCCTTCTTGGAACTGTTTGACTCTATATCAAGATTTGGAAAGCATACAGTAATTATTCCATGAATTAAGTTTTCTTTTTTTTTAAATTTTTGACAGGCAGAGTAAGACAGTGAGAGAGAGAGACAGAGAGAAAGCTCTTCCTTCCATTGGTTCACTCTCCTAATGGCCGCCACGGCCAGCGCTGCACCGATCCAAAGCCAGAAGACAGATACTTCCTCCCCGTCTCCCATGCAGGTGCAGGGACCTGAGCACTTAGGCCATCCTCCACTGCTATCCCAGGCCACAGCAGAGAGCTGGACTGGAAGAGGAGCAACCAGGACTAGTATCCAGTGCCCCAACTGGGACTAGAACCCAGGGTGCCCGTGCCACAGTAGGAGGATTAGCCAAATAAGCCACACTGTTAAGAAAAATGCAGGAGAGGTCATAGAAACTGTCCCACAGTCACTGATAATAAACTGTATTGGAATGATGTACATGGGCAGGCTAAAGATGAGGGGGGAATAATATAGAAAGACAATCAGGTAAAGTAGTAAAAAGAAAAATGGGTTAGAAGAAGAAGTTGAATAATGAGATTGATTTGACAAAAGAGGTAATGTGGTACCACATAATATGAAGGAGTGTAAAATACATCATAATGTTTTTGTTAGGGAACCAGAAAAAAATTTGACCTACAGATAGCATCAGATTCTCTTTCATCAAAATATTAATTAATTAATATTCAAGATGCAGACGTCATGGGATTTGATTGAAGAAGTACGTTACGACTGTGGAAAGGATGAGAATTAAG